AAAGCGACGATGGTGCTAACCCTTACAGTGGTGCTCATGTAACCCTTGCGGTGTGCTCATGTAACCCTTGCGGTGGTGCTCTAGTATCAGAGAGAAGGGAAAAGGGATGAGGTGTGAGAGAGAAGAGAAACAGAGTTGTGGGTTTATTTAATCAATGGTTATGCTTCCATTCCCGACCAACTCAAAATTTAGTCACTAATTCATTTAGGAATCCCTCCAAATTTTGAAATCTTACCTCCAAAAATTTCATTACAATTGCCGTCTAAATGTTAGTCACTAAAAGTAAGAGAAATACCGACTAAATTACTCTTAGTAGCTATAGATTAATAATTTTAGGGACTAAATTTAATTTTAGCCGCCCAAAATCCTAGTTTTGACAACTAAAATTCAATTAGTCGCCAAAAGTAAAATAAAAATACCAACTAAATTATTCTTAGTAGCTAAAGATTTTACATTTGGGGACCAAAAAAAGTTGGTTGCCCAAAATCGTATTTTCAACGACTAAAACTTAGCTAGTCGACAAAAGTAAGAGAAATACCAACTAAACTAGATTTAGTAGCTGATGATTGTACCTTTTGCCGACCAATTTTCTTTTGTAGCTAAAGTGGCTATCTTTGGCAACTAGATTTTTTTTTAGTAGCTAAAGTATGCATCTTTGGTGATTAAATATTTTTAGTCACTGAAAATATATATTTAGCGAATAATTTGTTAATCGCCAAAGATTGACAGTAATATTTATATAGTTTTTTGGCTACTAAATTTCTTTAGTCGGCAAAAATTAGTATACAATGACTAAATGTTTTTTGGTCACTAAAGATCAATATTTCGCTACAAAAATAGGTAGTCACCAAAGATTTAAAGTAAAATTATGGTAGTTATTTGGCTACTAAATTTATTTTAGTTGGCAACAAATTAGTGTACAACGACTAAATATTTTTTGGTCATCGAAAATACATATTTGCTGACCAAATTAGGTAGTCGCCAAAGATTTAAAGTGAAATTATGCTAGTCGGCAAAAATTAGTATATTGCGACTAAAACAAACTTTAGTAGCCTAAAACCTGAACTAATGCCGACCAAGTTTTTTCAGTCGCCTATTGTGACACTTTTGGCGACTAAATTCTTATTTAGTCGCCAATAATTAATATATAGCTACTAAAAAAATTAAGTGGCTAAACTCTGCAACAAATGTCGACCAATGTAATTTTAAGTTGCCTATTGTACAACTTTTGGCAACTAAATTCTTTTTAGTCGCCAAAAGTGCAGTTTCCTGTAGTGGTTATCAGTTGTTTGGGAGTAAATTGAAGTTAAAATTGATCTTTTTCATGTCATGTGTGAAAGTGTGCTCCCAACAAACTTGACTTTGAAAGTGTATTTTGTGCTTTTTTTACCTCAAGATTGTTTTAAATCTCAAGTGTTTTTACGTGGTTGATTAAAACAGATATTTGTTTCCAGCATGAGTCAAAAGTTGTCTGAGTTTGGTACCCATCTCCATTTTTGGTTGGGGGTGCACATTCAAGGAAGATCGAAGCTTGATCTACTTCTGGGTGTGATGATTTGCTTAAATTGAGTTTCTATTCTTTGCTAAAAATTCAAACAAGTTCCTATTTGAATTTTAATGTATGTGTGTGTATATATATATACATATATCCATTAAACAAATTGTTCCCATGTTTATAAATTTGTATATATATACATATATCTGTCTATACAAATTATTTCCATATTTGAATGTATGTACATATATACATACATATATATATTAAATAAATTTAGAAATTAATTTAATTGGATTTTATTTTCTTTGTTAGTGTGGGTGCTGATTTTTGACCATACAACCAAATAGGGAACTCCATTGGAGAGCACCGACATAATAGATTAAGCCCAACAACCTGTAACAAAAATATGAGAATTCCGCAGTGGTTCGTCTCCCTAGGGGCACATTGACGATCATGTCAGTAAACAATATCTCTCACAGATAGCAAATAGTGCTTAAACTCATTAGAAAAGAACTTAACTTAGACCTACAAGTGTGCCTTGCTTTTATAACCAACAGTGATTTGATCCTTTTAGAAGTCTCACTTCAATGGACTCAGGCTCAATGCTTATCCTGGATCCTCAGCTAGATAGAGATAAACTCTCCTTGAGCCTTATCTTTATTCAGAGTAAGATCCTCTCATATTCTAAGACTCTTGTCCTTTATCTGTTGCATCTCCGTAAACAACCTTGGCATAGCCGAGATTATCTCGACAAACGTGACCAGGCCACGTGACATCTAGGCTGACACTTCGATGTCACCTTAGCCACGTGCTGTCATTCTCAAAATATGTCTCCACAGTTAGAAATCAAAATATGTTTGCATGTGTTTATATATATGTATTTGTTTGTATATATGAGATTTGTAAAATTAATTGAACTGAATTGCTTTGTTTGAATCTTGGTATTGTTTTTTCTCAACAAAACACTTAAGGGCATTATGGACATTTCAATACTTATCTTTGATGACATCAATAATTTCTGTTAGTTGTTTGAACGACAGTCAAAAAATAAAAAAATCTTGATATTGTTAGTTAAAGTAGAAATTTTTTTGGTAATTATTAAAATCAAAAGGAATGTTCCTCCATTTATTAGAAAATTCAGGGAGGTACGTGTAATTCACTCATAAAAATAAAATGAAAAAGAAGAGGAAACATAAAGGCATGGCATTATCAAATCACAAGGACAATAGGCACAGGAAAGGGAATAGGGTGGCCGGCCTATTCAAAGATTATTGTGCAACTTTGCTACAGACCCCACTGCGGGTCGACCCCAGTGAGGTGGCAGCTCCCATTTGTTCAAATTACAAAAAAAAAAAAAAAAAAAATAGTTTTTTTTTTTTGACCAATGGCAGCCCTCCATTCATGACCCTAGTGATTCCCACTGGGGGTCTGAGGCATTTTTCTTATTATTATTTTACTTGGTAAGGAAGAAAAATGGTAAATGAATAAAAATTTATTTTTTAAAAAAGATGAACAAGAATGAGATGGAGATGAAAGAAAATCAAATAAATATGAGAAAATAAGTTAGATTTTTATCTACAAATCTCATTACTAAAACACTATAATAAATCACCAATACCTCTAATTAAAATATTTAATATCTCAAAAATACAGAATTTTACACAGAGTAATCGTCAATTTTTGAAAACCTGAAAACCAGCAAGTGAAGCGTTCAAAGACGAATTTCTCCAACGACATTTGCCATCGCTTCTTCCCTCAACGCCTACAGATCCCTACCCTTGCCTTTCTCCCTTCCCTTTCAAATCATAATCTTTCCCTCACCACTCACCACGAGAGAAAGAGAGGAATAAATAATCAAGAGTAGAAGAAGAGGGATTGGAAGGGTGAGGGGGTGTATGGAGGGACTCAGGTGATCGTTGGAGGTGATAGTGGTGGTGTTATATCAAACTCAAAATAATTAGATTCATTTTAGGGGTAGTTATGTGTAGATCCTAATAAGTGGGCTTATTATTTAATAGGTCCTATAAAAAAAATTTGTCATAAAAAAAATTACTAATTGTAAATTTTAACGACAATTTATAAAAATCATGACAAAAAAAAATTACTAATTATTAATTTTTAGCGACATATGTAAAAAATTGTCATAAAAAAATTATTTTTAACTATAAATAATTTTTAGCGACATATGTAAAAAACTATCACAAAAAAATTATTTTTAACTACAAATTTACCAAGACTTTTCAATAAGACTTGATTGGAACTAACTATTAAATCTTATTGGTATTTTACCCCATTTTTTATTATCCTAACTAAAATAGATAAGCAAAAAAAAAAAAAAAAATCATTGTTAAATTAAATAAAAAAATTGCAAATGCAAAAGTTTAAATTTAAATATTTAAAAAAAAAAACACTACTTCAAAATTTCCATAAAGAATTAAATATATATATATATATATATTTATATTTAGTTGTCTCTATACTTTATTACTTGAATCATTTTTATCCTTATAATTTCAATGGATCTTAATTTTAATTTTAAATTTTGTATCAATTTAACTTAATTAATGAAGTTGTTAAACTTCTTAATAAAAAATAATCATTAAGTTAGTTGAGATTAATTCATAAAATTGATCAAATTTATAATTTGTCCTCTAAAAATATAATCTGTCACTCATGTCTGCATTTATCATAAAAAATGCTAACAATTACAAGAGTAATGTTAAGAATTCTAAATATTTTATCAAATGTTTTACTAAATGTCTCATATGAATATGAGACTCACATGAGACTCACATGATATGAGTCTTATACCCATGTAAAAATTTAATAAAATATTTAAAATCCCTAGTATTTTTTCAATTAGAATCACTTGCGCCAATTTAAGACAAACTCAAAAATTTAAAATCATAATCGAATCAATTGATATTACATAAATCAAAATAACACGGGACTAAAGTAAAAATAGTACCGTGTAATTTAAATTAATTTACTGAAAAATTAATTCTAAGCCTCCGTTTGGGAAGTGGGTTGACTTTTTGACTTTTTGGCTTTTTTGGCTATTTTAGCCTGGGCTAAAAAGCTTGGTTTGGGAAAGGCTTTTTGACTTTTTAGTTTTTTTGACTTTTTTTGTGAGAGAAGAATGTAATGATTATAGGTTGGATGTGATGTTTTGTTTGTTATGACTAAAATAGTCTATTTTATTTTTTGTGACTAAAATAGCTAAAAAAGCCTGAAAAAACCCTTCCCAAACACAGGCTAAAAACTGAAACCAAATTTTACCATTCATCTCGTCGCATGCATGCAGTGCAACACACACAAATGGTTGGTATAACACTACCACCGAGGATTCTACTCTAGAGTGTTTTTTTTCATAAAATTTCTTAAAATGATATATTGTATAGTTGAAATTTAATATTAAAAAATAGATATGACTTGTCATTAAATCTCAATCATATAATACATCACTCTAAAAAATTTTAAAAAAAAATATTCTAGAGAATCCTTACTCTAACACTACTCACAAGTCGTAATGAATTATTTTCATATTTACACGTGCCAACTCGCATGTACAAAAAATCAAAGCTCAAGTCAACGTGTCAAATGCTCAAGCTTCTCTGCAGCTGCGCCGCTTGATCTCCCAAGCTCGAGCAACTACACGTCCTCCTCAAGTCCACTGGTCCCACATCCCTCCCCTCCTCAACCCACGTGTCACTTCTCTCCACCGTCGATCCTCCCTGATCTTCACCAACACCACCACCATGATCATCATCATCGTCACCTCCCTCCTGTCCCTGCGACACACCCAAATAAACCTCCTCAACTCCACCAAACAACTGAGTCGAACGACACAAGGGACACGACACGTGTGAGCACAGCCACGTGTCAATGCACTCAGCGTGAAACACGTGGCTACAGTACGGTATAAACTTAACCCCCTCTCTCTCCTCGAACTCGCTCAGACAAATCGCGCAGTCGATCGGGTGCTTCGCGTCCCCACGGTAAGAAATGAGCGGAAGTGATCGGACGGCGGATGGATCGAGACCTTTCGGATAAGTTGATGGAAGGAGTGGAGGAGGGCGGCGGCGGCGGCGATAAGCGGAGAAGAAGCCCATGAAGAAGAGGGCGGTGAGGAGAACGAGGGCCGTTAGGGCCATGGAGGAGTCGAATGGGTAGTTGGGCTTGAAAGGCCTATTAGTGAGGGCTGATGATGAGCCGTTGATGGGCTGTAGAAGTGGGTCCGGAGAGTATGTGAACGACGGTGATAGAGTGGTGGCCCGGCCACGATTTTCTCCTTGTAGGAGCTTCCTGCTGTGGGGCTTCATTGCTTGTTTTGCTGCTGTGTTTTTAGAGAGAAAGAGAGAGGAGAGTTAATATAGAGTGACAGTGTTGTAGGGAGGTGAGAGATTGGGGAGTTTGGCAATGGAGGCATGGAGTGGGGGTGGGGGTGGAATCCGGATCTTCGGTAGCACTTTCCTGTCGCCCTCCCTGTCGCCCTCCAAAACGACGTCGTTTTGGAGGGTAGACGGCGGCGGCGGCGGCGTAGCAGACGTGGGGCCCACATCCAGGGACCGGACTGATTCTTTCTGGACATGTGGACTCACTGCTAATTTTATTTTTATTATTTTAAATTTGTTTTTAAAAAAAATAAACAAATTTTAGAAATAATTTAATTATATACTCATGCGACCATCTTAACCTGGTTTTAGAAGGAAGGTTTGGGTTAAAATAGTTATATAAAATAAAATATATTATTTTAATTTAATAAGATTCTTCTTCTGTATTTTTTTTTTTTCTTTTCTTCTTCTCCTTTCTCTTCAGTCTATGCTGAGGACTTTTCTTCTTCTTCTTTCGAACTGTGTCTCTCCTCCCCCACTACGCTCCACCTCCTCCACCCTCGCCATCACTTCTTCTACCGTCTGCGTCATCGTCGCTGGCCAACCCACCCAAACAATTCAATGCTACAAAAACTCCCACACCCTTCCCATCTCCCCCAACATCTTTTATTGAGATTGAAAATATGGATGTTTGGGTTAACTTTTTGACTTTTTATGGAAAAATGTGTAATAAAAAATTGTAAAAATTGGTTTGTAGAGGAAAATTTAAATTGGGAGTTATGCAGCCGTAATTGTTGACTTTTGGTGAATAGTGTTAACTTTTTAACTTTTTGAGTAACTTTTTGACTTTTTGACTTATTTGGGACTTCCCAAACTTAGCCTTATAATTATTATATTTTTGTTTTCATAAAAAGTCAAAAAATCCTTCTCAAATGAGATTTTTTAGTCCTACACTAAGGGGTGGTTTGAGATTATTTAAGTAAGTGTACTTTTTGACTTTTTATGAAATATATAGGTTGGGTATGGGTTGGATTTGAAGTGATGTGGTAGAGAGGTAATGTGACTTAAATAAGATAGTAACTTTTTGGTTTTTTTAGGTTATGACAAATAAGGCTTAAAATAATCAAAAAGTCAACCCACTTCCCAAACATTTTTTGTCATGAAAATTATTTAAGTTGGTTGAGAGATTATTTGTGAAAGAATTTGAAAAAGAAAAAGAAAAAAAAGTATGTGTAATTAAGTGTAATATAAGTATATTTTCACATTTTACTTATCATTTTTCTTTTTCTTTCTAAATTTTTCCTAAATCTCCCAATCAAATACAATTTTAGACAAAAATTATATATAAATTCTCTTTCTAAACTCATTTTTATGATCAATGATGTGTAAAAGAAATGATTAACCTATGGTCACATCACAACCATATATGTGAATATTTTTTCTCTAACATCTGTGCATTTTGTGCTAAGAACGTTTTGCGTTCTTAAATTTTTTTTAATTATAGAAGATATGAGAGTGAATTATTATTCTAATAAATTCTTACATTGTTAAGTTTGAAAGTAAATTCAACTTTTAATTTTAAATATTATTTAGTGTGTTTGATTTTAATTTTTTGAATTTAATTTTTTGAAAATTAAATTTTTTATTTTTTGTTTTTAATGAATATTTTTAAAATTTGAAGCAATTTTTTTTACTTTTTTATATGCATCTTATTTAGATGTATTTAAATAATAAAATATTTGTGAAAAATATTTTAAAAAATTAATAAATACACAAAAATATAAAAAATATACTGAATTTTGGTATTTTTTGTATTTTTTGGTATTTAGAGCATCTCCAACGGTGAACCAAACCTGGTATCAAATTTAAATTTTGGTGAAAAAGTCACTTTTTTGGAGCTCCAATGGTTTCAGTAAATTGATATCAAAATGAGAATTCACCAAAAAATTCATCAAAGTGAGAACAGGGTACAGATTTCACTACTTTACTGTGTGTGACCGTTAGAGGAGACCATCCGGTTGACTAACCGGTCAACCGGTTCCCTTTCAAATAGGTAAGTTCAAACCGGCCAAAAAGGTTCAAACAGTTAAAAAAAAATAAAATAAAATAAAATTTGCCTTATTGGTCGACCCTCCCCTTTTGATGCGCGGTTGGAGGAAGAAATATCAGATTGAGAAAATTAGGTTTTTTTATTCAAATTTGGTAAAAATTTTGGTTCACTTTTGGAGATGGTCTTAGTGTATCTTTTAAAGATTTTTTTCACAAATATTATACTTTTTAAATGTATTTATGCTAGGTGTGTCTAAAAATTTCAAAAATATTTAAAATATTAAAAAAATTCATTGAAAATATTAAAATACAAAAAATAAAAAAAATAAAAATTTCTAAAAACTATTTTTTAAAAATCAGAACCAAACAAGCTGATTCTTATTTAGAAATGAGTAAAAAGTACAAATGAACACTTTGGCATCTTTGGAGAAGATGACAAAAAATCAAAAGTCATTTTTTAATTTATTCTGGTGACACAGTCTTTTTACTTTTTTTTATACATTTTTTTCAAAAAAAATTAAAAAAGAAAAAAGTTTTAACTTTTAACTGACTTACCAAAATAACCTTTTGTATTGTGAGTCACAACTATAATAAATATTATCCATATAATTTGAGTTTGAATAATTTTTTGTTTTTTTGTTTTTTTTTTATTCTGAATTTGTGGTGTTATTGTAAATTTTATAAATATTTATGAAAGTAATTAATTATTTTTTTATGAATAATAATTTACATAAATTTTAAAAACTAGCTAATCAAGTGTCCGCTGAGCCCACGGTCCAAAATGATGCGTCTTTTTTCAAAATCCGGGTGCTACGTGAATTCTGGTGTGGTGGTCTAGATGGTGACACTGAGCAATCACTAGATTAGATTCAGACAAAATCTGCCTTCCGAATGTACCAAGTGCTTGTATAGCATGTATTAAAAAAAAGTATATTTTTTTATATATATGTATTTATTTGGATTACATTAATTAATATATATATATTTTTTATTCATTTTTTTTATTTTTTTAAATACTTTTTTTTATAAAATATTAAAAAATACACTTATTTAAAACATTCCAAATCACTGATAGATTTTCTATAATTTCTTCTTCCAAGCCAAGCCTTTAATCTATTAACAGTAGTGATTAGTGCGTGTAACCTAACAGTAGTGATTAGTGATTAGTGCGTGTAACCTAACAAAAAATTTAACAGTAGTGATTAGTGCCTTTAAGCCAAGCCAAGGGGTTGTAGCATTATGGTAAGGCTTTGGGATTTAAGCCCCAAGGTCACAAGTTCAATTCTCCCCTTGGGCCAATTTCTTGAGCAAAGCACTGTTGGTTAGGAGGTTGGATCTCAAGTTGTCTAGTCAGCACTTGGTGTGAGTTCAATGTTCCCCCGCTGTGTGAGTCCTGACTTAAACGGAGCTTGTCTTTGAAAGTCGGAGCAAGTTCTCAGGTTAAGTTCTCAGGTTATAGTCTCCCGCTGTGCGAGTCCTAACTTAAACGGAGCTTGTCTTAGGAGGTCGAGGCAAGTTCCCAGGTTATAGTCTCCTCGCTCGGAACGACTAACAGGACACCTTGGTGATCTCTGGGCCGCTGCCTTGGACCTGCGGGAGGATATGAAGGATTTTCCTGTAAAAAAGATGGGCTCATAACTGAGATTGAACCCGGAACTACTAGAGAGGAAGTGAATTATTTGGAAACAATAAGACAATTCAAAATAGGGAAATTATAGAATAATTTCAGTGTATCACGTGTCTATACTCCGAAATACTCCCAGATTTCTGGATAATTACGCATTGAATGACAAGCGGCTCCTATACTAATGACAGATGAAAATATACAAACAACAATCATATACATGTTTAGTGGGAGTTGGATTTCCTTTCAAAAATGTATTTTAATAGATGATTTTAAAACTATTTTTTATGAAAAGATATAAAGAAAAATGGAGATAGAAATGTGATAATTTATAGTGACTTTTAAATTTTTTTAATTAAAATGTTGGGTTTCCGAATGAGGCCTCAAGAATAATTTTTTAAGAGTTTCAAAACTGGTATAATTTTGTCTTATTTATTATTATTACAAGCTCTTTACAATTTTCAATTGTTTAATGAGAAAATTGATGAGAAATCCACTCTACCAATTATCTAAGGTATTAGGTTTAGTGAATTTTTTTGTTGGTGAAAGGCCTACACTTCGTGAAATAGTTTGGTAAGAAATCCTAAAGGATATTTTGTTTTCAATTTTTGCTCGACTTTTTTCCTTCGACGACGACGTCGTAGAGGAAGACGGCGTATTCACTCCTCTGGAGCTCGATTTCTTCGATTTCGACCCATGCCTCGACGCCATTGTAGCTCCACAATCCACAAATAAACCTGCAATTAATCAATCAGGGAACCACTAAACATATGATATGTGTGTGTGTGTGTGTGTGTACGTAGAGAAATCTTTTTAGAGTTCAGAGATCTGAGAGACCAATTCGATGAACAACATCAACGTAATGATTGATTGAGCATAATGAGAGACAGACAGACAGGCAGAAAAAAAAAAAAAAAATTGAAAAGTTTAGGGTTTTAGGTTAAGCTTTTCATGCTTGCCTTGGAAGCGATGCCCTTTCAAAAAAGGCAAAACGGCATTTTCAATCTATACTTTTAGAGAGAGAAGACGTAGAAAGAGTGGGCAGAAAAAGCATTTGTTGGTGCGCGTAGGTATAGAAAGAGAAAGTAGAGAGAGAGAGAGAGAGTGTGTGGAGTAGATAGCAACCCCACACCTACAGAGAGAAATCGAGACGGATGACAGAGCGAGCGAGAGAGAGGACGAGCTGGATTTGTGTGCTTGAAGAAAAAAAAAATGTCCATTAGGAGCTGGATTGAAGAGGCAATTCACCGTTGGCAAAACTCCGGTGATCGGAAACAAACAACGCTGTGGATCCAGTGACAAATACTAGGCACTTTGTTTGTCATTTAACCTCAGGCAATTGAATTTAGTTCTCCATTAGACATATATTTATGTTGCTGATTTGTTTGTGGATTTTGCAACATATATTTTCTAAAAATTGTTGGGATCTTCAGTTTTGAGGCATTTCTAGGTTAATATGAGAGGCCACTGTTATATTAATTGTGTGCTCTAATCCTCTACATGTATGCATTTTTATTTACTTAGGATTAGCACAAAGGCTGCTGTTTTATTTGATATAGTGTCACAGACTCACAGAATTTCTCTTCTCCTTTAGATTACATGATATCAAAATCCAGCTATTACTGTTTGTATGGTTTCTTTTCTTGGGAAACAAGCCTCTATTTCTTAAGAATTAATACTCATCTAACATGAATTTAAGATCCCTTATTCTTTTTTATTTTTTGAATTCAGAACCACATTTTCTTTTTTTATATGCATCTTTATATCTATGTTCGGCAATGGCACGTTTTTAATCTTATTCTATTTTTCCTTATAACCTTTAGCACTTGTGGCATTTTAGCATGTTGTTTACAATGACTGTAGTAGTAGGGAACCATATTTGCACCATGCTCAGTTCTTTCCACATCTACCCTCAACCCAATATGTGAACCTTTTCAATATCCAGTTTGTCTTACTGCCTCCTGAGAAGGCTCAAAATTAGGCTCTTGATTTTATTGAACAAAATCTAGTGTAGTTATAATAAGCAGCCAAGTTTCTTAACCCAGGTCTGTTACCATGGTGGAAACACCGACCGCATAGCTCTAGTTCTAGTGTAGCTGAAAACAGTTTACTATGGAAACTGATGGAACTGATGATGACATTTGTAGCTCAGAGCAGCAAATAACAGTTCACTGTCTTGTATAACCAAATTAAATGGATTGTGATTTGGGTACGTGCTTAGTTATATTCTTCAGAAAGTATGTGTGTGTGTTTGTGTGTTAAATATTAATGTTATGAAAATTAGATCAGACTGGTCCATATGAACCACAAAACCGCTTTGAACACAAACTGCCCTCCTTTGTTAATGCCGCTTAGAGCTGGGGTTGAACCAGTCACTTGTTCAAATTGGCAACGGTTTACTTTGACCGACTGATTTCTAAGCTCCTTTAAAATTTTGGCTTAGGGCTCTTTCAACCCTCATTCCGTCATTTGATTTTTTCATCCTCATTCAGTCTTCATTCCTCAAAGCCCCATATCAGTGACGGATGAAGAATCTGTGTTTAGTTTATTTGATTTTGTGCATCTATCTTGCTTTTTTGTAATTTTAATACTTTGTATTTTTTTTAATTTAAATTTTGTAATATGTTTGTGGCATTTGATTTTAGTTGATCCCACGTTTGAACCAAAGGCGATTTAATCCCTTTTTTGGGTTTGCCTGATCATTTGTTTTTACAAAAATAATTGGAAGCTCTAATAAATAAGTTTTAATGTGAGTGAGTCCTACTGTGATGTGATGTTTTAATCTTATTTATTTTATTTTATTCTTTTTATTCCTTATCATATCATTAGAACTTAATTTGAACTCTAAAATTAAAGATGTATCATTGCTCTTATTTTTATTTACTTGTTTTGTGAAGGATGATTTGAAGGATTGGACTATTGATGTGCTCACAGATGCACTAAGGTGTGCCGAAGAAAATGTCGGACATAGGCCCAAGTAAATTAGTCAAAAAATAGGTAAATTTACTTATTTTATTAAGGATAAAGATTGGTAGCTCGAGGATTTCGCCCCCGAATCCCCCTAAAGCCCAAAACGACGTCGTTTTGGGCTTTAGGTTTTTTTTTTTGCGAAATCCTCGAGCTACCAATCTTTATCCTTAATAAAATAAGTAAATTTACCTATTTTTTGACTAATTTACTTGGGCCTATGTCCGACATTTTCTTCGGCACACCTTAGTGCATCTGTGAGCACATCAATAGTCCAATCCTTCAAATCATCCTTCACAAAACAAGTAAATAAAAATAAGAGCAATGATACATCTTTAATTTTAGAGTTCAAATTAAGTTCTAATGATATGATAAGGAATAAAAAGAATAAAATAAAATAAATAAGATTAAAACATCACATCACAGTAGGACTCACTCACATTAAAACTTATTTATTAGAGCTTCCAATTATTTTTGTAAAAACAAATGATCAGGCAAACCCAAAAAAAAAAAAAGGAAATTAGGGGGATTCAGGGGAGCTCGTTTTCAAGCTCCCTAGCACTACTCTTTTATTAAATATGATTGCTTAGTATGAGTAATTTTATATGCGGATAAGATATTGAAAATCTTCCTACTGCAAATGGCAAAACAAATGCAACTTTAATGCTATGTAGCCTCCAATTATAAACCATTTGCAGCTGCCAAGTTTTGCAGTGTCATCTTCTTAGCGGTGTGCAAGTCATATTTTTTATTCATTAGCTCACCCTAGTATTCTAGACTCCTCTAATAATCTATCGTGTTTAATATTCTTGGAATCTTACGTGCCCACCCCATAATATGAGTCCAGATCCTTTGCCGTAGTTTCTTGTGGTGACTTTTTTTTTTTTTTTTTTTTCTCACTTCTTATATTTTGCTTTTCAGCTTGTTTTTGTTGTCTGGTGTTTGAACCCTAGTGAGACAAATAGAGAGGCAACTACAGCGAGGAGAGAAGAGGCAGCGGTGAGGCGAGGGGAAGCGGCAGGAGACGGACAAAGAGGATAAGGTGACGGCAACGAGGTTCGTTTGTTGATTCTCATTTTTTTCTCTTCGTCTCTTCGACTTCATTCTCATTTTTTTTTTTTTACTTATATATGTATATATAAGTATGATTTGTTGCCATAGTTTGATTTGTTGTTCAAAAAAATAGATGCTTTTGATTTATTGAGTTTGATGGGTTTGTTGTGGAAACAGATTTATTGAGTTTGATGGGTTTGTTGTTGTTGATTTGTTGCCATAATTCTAGGGTTTGTTGTGGAAACAAATTTGTGTCTAATCTGTTCAATTTTTTCCCAATTTTTTGTGTGTTTAATCTGTTGATTTGGTGCTTCATCTTTTTTAGTTGGAATAATGACATTAATCTGGGGAAACAGATTTGTGTTTAGTCTGTTCAATTTTTTTCCTTTTTTTTTTTTTTTTTTTTTTGTGTTTAATCTGTTGATTTGGTGATTCATCTTTTGTAGTTGGAATAATGACATTAATCTGGGAAAACAGATTTGTGTTTAATCTGTTCAATTTTTTCTCAATTTTTTTGTGTTTAATCTGTTGATTTGGTGCTTCATCTTTTTTAGTTGGAATAATGACATTAATCTGGGCCTCAAGAATCCTCTTCTTCTTTGCCCATAGAATGTTGAGGAAACCACTGTTAATTTGTTTCCACTTAGCAATAGGGAGGCTGACTTCTTTACTATCAAAGGTCCTTTGTCAACAATAGGCTAAGAATCTATTCAAGTACCTACTCTGTTATGAGTAAGCTAAGAATGCAGCATGTCTCCAAATGAAATTGAAATTTCATAGCTTAAAAAGTTAAGATTTCTTGACCCAAAAATATAGAGTTCTAATATAAGGAGAAGTGGAAACAAAAGGTAATGAAATTTTAAGAATGAACATGAACATAAAGAATGTTAAGAATGAGGCATTAAGAATGAACATGAACATGAGGCATTAAGAATGTTAAGAATGAGGCATTAAGAATGAACATGAACATGAATGCTCACTTAGCAGTGGTAAGAGTGGTATGAACATTCAAACTTAACTTTTTCATATTAAGAACATGGAGAATGTTAAGAATGAGGCATTAAGAATGAACATGAACATGAGGCATTAAGAATGTTAAGAATGAACATGAACATGAAAATGACAATGGTTATTAGACAAATCAAGTGGTGTACTTGAAAATGACTGAAAAAATGTGTGAAGTCTTCTACTTCATAAATATTAGCAAACAAGATAGAGACAGTGATTACTTTGAACTATCAACACTGACATGCATTCTATACTAAAGATGGAGAAATAGGTTGAGATTTTTTGAACTATCAACATTGTTTGAATGTATGGACTAAACAAATCATTGATTATTGTTTTATTTTACATCTTTGTTTGAATATTGTCTTAAGTTGTAATAGACTGATTGTGTCATAAAATGCTCTTACTAGGATCATGTCAATGGGTTCAAACTTTGATGCTAGATATTTGCAAAATAGAAGATGCAATTGTGGAAAGAAAGCTGCAGTGTTCGTATCAAAATTAGAGAAAAATTCAAGGAGGCTATATTTTAAGTGTGCAAATAGGATGTGCGTGTACTTTGCGTGGGGAGCGGCTCCAACTGGGAATGCATCAAATATCCAAAGGAGAAGTAAAGCTAGTCATTGAAGAATGAAGATGAGAGAGGCTATGATTATGATTTTGACAAAATCAATGAAATTATAAATAGATTGGAACGAGTTGAGGCAAATCAAGAAGCTATGAAACTGATTATGTTGACAGTCATAGTGTTGGTTGGTTTTACCATGTTAATAACACTATTGAAGTAAATGTAACCTTTTAGTTATTTATTTTTTATTCTTATTTTTTTGATAGTTGTATTTGGGTTTTGAATTTAGTAAACCTTAAACTATGAGTTTTGATATGTAAAGTTCACTGATATGTAAACCTTCTCTATATTCCAAATCTTTTTGTCTCTTCGATCTTAAGTAATTTTTTTGTTCAATTTGGTGAAACCAAATGATGCTCTTCTACCAAATTCCCTATCAAATAGTTCATAAGCAGACCTAAGAGGAATTCCAGATTCTGAAACCAATTCTACTTCAATTGCTTGGGTGGTAGATATTTTTCTTTAGGATGGCAACATATAAATGCAATCTTGAGGCACAAGATCATGATTATGATGTTCAACAAAATCACAAGCAATATATTTTCCTGAAATTCTATCTAACTTGATACTAAATCGGGCACCACAACCACATCTTACCTCTTGTCTCGGATTTTTGACAAGTTAATACCCCGACTTCCCTCTTTGTAACATACAAACGTCTGTGATGTTATCTCCTTCGTATGTTTGTTCTTGTTTGCATAGGCCTTCATAATACTAAAGCCCACATTTCCCCCATACGTATTGTAAAAGTCATATGCGGCTTGTTTAGAGTTAAATGGCATTCCCACTTTCGGCTTCCAACCACAATCATCAACAATATTATTTTCTTCCATTACCTACAATTCAATATCATTAGTAATCAATTTCTCTATTCTTGCTATTTTTTACACATCTCTCTTATATATATAAACCACATTTATCCTTAATTGCAGGTTCTGGGGGTGAATTGCACAAATCTGAATCATATATATATATATATATAATGGAAGAAAATTATATAAATCCACAAATAAATGTATGAATCAGAAAATAATATTTACAAGTAAATGTGATTAACTATCTAACAACAAATATGAATCCACTAGAACAGATCAATGTGATTAACTATATATATATATAGAACATAAAATTTCATATTAAAAAATCTGAATTATATATATATATAGAACATAAAATTTACCTACTTCAGTGAGTGAACCCATTTCATATGAAAAAATCTAAATTAATTGATTTCAAAAAAATCTGAATCATGGGCTAAAATCTGAATAAAAAAATCTAAATTATGATTTCAGTGAAATCAATTAATAAAACATATATGATTTTTTCATATAGATTAAGTGAAATGGGTTAAATAAATCAACAAATATGGGTTAAAAAATCATGTATAGTTCTAATCTATTTATATGTTTTTGACAAATCAATAACAACCCATCTATGAATCCCCAACAGATTAAGTGATTGAACCAAACCAAAATCAATAACAAATCTATACATATGTATATATGTAACAACAAGATGATGAAATAGACCTTGCCGTCGCCGCAATGTCGCCTTCCCGCCATCGCATCGTCGCCGGACTCATCGTCGCCCGTGATCCTTTGCATTGCTCCTTCACCATCACGCTGCTCCTCCATCTCCGCCATCTTTTTCGTCTCTCAATTTCTCTCTTAATTCGCGTTCGTTCTCTTTCAGTTCCTCACTCCGACTTTCAGTCGCCTCTCATGATGCCTCTCTCTCTCTCTGCTAGGGTTCATTGACTCAGATCGATGGTGCAAAGCAAAGAAGATGATACATAGAAGAGAAAGAGGAGGGGGAATGAAATTTTTGAAAAAAAAAAAAAACACTAAATAATACGACGTCGTTTTATCCAAAACGACGTCGTTTTGGAGACTATCGTAAGAACCACCGCAAAAAATCATGGTAGATGATCTGGACTCTCCTACAATCAAGACATGTCTCAATTTTTGTATAAGGAATTAATTGCTGATCACAGTAGGCTTGATTGAAATATTTTTTTATATTTTATTTTTAATCAAATGCTAGTGGCATCAAAAGATTTGATTGAAACCTATATAACAAGGAAGCTCCGTTTTTTATTGTTGATGGGACTTTTGTGTATTTGTCAAAATCTGCACCTCATATTGATTCAATCCAATGGTTGAGTTTGAAAACAAGTCAGAGTTTAAAAATGTGTTATTCACTTTGGATGGTGCAGAACGGCTAAGATCACTTCCCCACTCTCAAATGCTCTTTCTATCTCCTCTTTCATCTTTGTCCAAATCCTCCATCTTTTTCATTTCAGAGAAATCCTCCCTTTTTCATACGCTCTTCTCTCTCTCTCTCTCTCCTCTCACGATGACACCGTCACTCATCGACTATCGACCACCTCTCCTCGCCTCTTGCTGTCCTCTTTTCTCTCGACCACCCACCACCAACTCTCTTCTCTGGCTCTCCTATTTCGCCTCTCTCCTCTTGTGACGACATCGCAGCCATTCAGAGGTAAAGACCACCGACCATTGACTCTTTTCTCTCGCCCACCTGTTTTGGCTCTCTTCTCTTGCGACGACATCGTAGCCATTCAGAGGTAAACTACAACTTACAAATTTGCAATCCATGATATTTTGTGGGTTTCTCTCCTCTTAGATTTGGGTTACAGTATTGTTCATGGGTTTTGGTTATTTTTTGAGGATTTTTATTGGGTTTTAGAGATTTTGGACTCTATATGCATTTTTGGTTCTTACTTGAGTTTGCTGATGGGTTCTAATTGTTTAGTTTAAATTGTTCAAAATTTGAATTATTTTTCCATATCTAAGCATTTTATCAGATTTTTCCATATGACTTAATAGGCCTCTATGGATGAGTTTTGTAAATTGGTGCTAACATTTACCCAAAAACAGGGCATGTATCTTTCCTTGGTGTGTTGTCTTCCTTTATATCTTTCACTAGGATTGTGTTTTGTAAATGAGTTTTGTTGAATGGAGTGTTATGCATGGATGTGTTGAATGGTTAAGTCCGAGCACATTCTCTAGCCAATATTTAGTGTTTTGACGTGTCCTTATTATTGTTTTCATTATCTTAGTAACACATAACTCATCCATAGTGGTTAAAAACAGAGCTTCCTTGGCCAGGGAAAAAGATGTGTCCTTATTAGTGGTTAATTATGCCCATTATGACATGGATGAGTTTTGTAAATTGGTGCTAACATTTACCCACAAATAGGGTAAATGTTGTTTATTTATTTTCTTTGTTGTTTTCTCTCATATTAATCTACAAATCGGACATTTTTTGGCCAATAAAGGACTGTGTTTGTGTTTGTGTTTCCGTTTTACCATAGGTGTTTGTGTTTCTGTTTTACCATAGGAAACAAAACCAATTTTAAACCCTTAGTTTGTTGTCAGATTTTTTGATATTATCTTAGTTTCTTTGTTCATCTTAGTTCCTTAAACATTATTTTTTGTTCATCTTAGTTTGTTGTTTTATTTTCTTTGTTCATCTTAGTTTGTTGTTTTCTCTTATCTTAGTTTATGGGGATTAATCAAACAAATATTTTGGGGATTAATCAAACAAATACTTGAAAATATTTGGGTCAGACAGTGTTTGTTTTTGTGTTTATAAGGGTTTGAAAATATTTCTCTCTTTTTTTTGGGGGGGGTGAATAAGTTATAAAATATGTAAGCACAAAAAACTCATTTAAGTCACAAAAAACTTACAGAAATACAAAGGGCAACCACAAGAAGTTATCAATGTATCACAAACAAAATTATTAATGAAACCATATGTAAGTAATGTTTGTTTACAAACTGTTACAAACTGCCATGAATGAGCTGTAGCAAAAACTTAGTATGAGGTTAACAAAAGATTGTATTTTTGTTAACAGCAACCATTCTTTGTATCAAAACTTTTCCAACAGTCAAAATACCCAGCACCCATTCTTTGCATCAATGGTATTCCAACAGTCAAAATACCATGTCCATGATTATATTTTGCTGCATACTGGTTGTTTGTGGTTGAATATTAATTCATTTCTACCAAGTCAAAGAGTCTAAATTTTTAGGTTGTCGATTGGCTCAAAATTGTTACTGTGTGTGTCAATTTTCGACCACACTGCCAATCAAGCACTCAGTTGGAGAACACTGGCAGAATAGATTAAGCCTGAACGACCTGTCACAAAAAGAAGAGATTCTGGCGGTGGTTTGTCCACCCGGGGGCACTCCGACGATCAAGTCAATTATCTCTCAAAGATAGCAAACGTGCTTAACTCACTATTCAAAGCATAAAAAGCATACCTTAAACCCATGAGGGTGCCTCTCTTTTATAGCCAACACAAACCTAGTCCCAATAGAAGCCAAGCTTCAATGGACTTAGGATTACTGCTAATCTTGGACTCCCAGTATGATTGGGATAAACTCTCTAAGAGTCTTATCTTTATCCAAACTGAAGTCCTCTCCCATTCTAGGACTCTTGTCCCTTATCCGCTTATCTCGAATTTCGATTTCTTCGTAGATAACCTCGGCCTAGCTGAGATCATCTCGGCGTCATGACTAGGACACGTGGCACCGCGGCTGGCATTTCGGTGACACCTCGACCACGTGTTGTCATTCAAAAATTATGTCCCCACAACTGTCCCCTAGGTTCTATTACCTCAACATCCTGAGGTGATGGAACCTATATCATTCATTCCTTTAATCATGACCCCGGTTTAATTTCAGCTTGTAAATTTTTCTTAAATTTCAACAAGTGTTAAACATGACCTCGGTTTAACTTCAACATGTAAATTTTTCTTAAATTTCAACAAGTGTTAAACATGACCTCAGTTTAACTTCAACTTGTAAATTTTTCTTAAATTTCAACAAGTGTTAAACTGATCTTGGCTTGAAAATTCAAACTCCCAAGCATCATTCTCCAGCCCTCTACATGGCTTCCACCTACTCCTTTGTAGACTTTAAACAAAAAGTCTTTAACTTAGGCTGAGCTTTTCTCTTCTCGGACTTAATCATCTAGGCCGAGATCTTATCTTTTGGAATCTGGGATCTGCTGACTTTAGGCTGAGCTCTTCTCTTCTCGGGCCTAATCATCTAGGCTGAGATCGTGTCTTCTGGGATTCTCCATGCCCGACCTCCCACGAAGGCCAATGAGAATGTCCTTTGGTCCCGCCATGCTGAGGGACTGCAGGAACCGTTTTCTGCCCCCTTTTCTGGGCACCTTTCTTGGCTGCTGGAATCGGCGTATCTTGTAGCGGTTACGGTGGCTGCATGACATTGTTCTGCACCAGGAAATTGACGACCGTTTGCAGGTCCGCCAATTTGTCTAGCATTCCCTTCATCTCGTCGTCCCTCTGTAGGCATCTATCTTTCCATACCTGGAGGTCGTCCTCGTTATAATACCCGCTCCGGTCCTATTTCTTCGATACGCCGTCCTCCTGGCCAACGTTGGTCCTTTTCTCCGTGATTTTTATCACGAGTCACTTCATTGCAGTTGTCTTCTTCGACGTCAAGGTCAATATGTTTTTCACTCTCGGTAGGGGTGTCGTCCCCAACCTTCTATTTCTGTCCGTCGTTGGCCATCTATTCTCATTTTTTTCCTACAGACGGCGCCAAATTGTGTGTGTCAATTTCCGACCACACTACCAATCAAACACTCAGCTGGAGAACACTGGCAAAATAGATTAAGCCCGAACGACCAGTCACAAAAAGAAGAGATTCTGGCGATGGTTCGTCCACCCGGGGGCACTCCGACGATCAAGTCAGTTATCTCTCAAAGATAGCAAAAGTGCTTAACTCACTATTCAGAGCATAAAAAGCATACCTTAGACCCATGATGGTGCCTCTCTTTTATAGCCAACACAAACCTAGTCCCAATAGAAGCATAGCTTTAATGGACTTAAGATTACTGCTAATCTTGGACTCCTAGTAGGATTGGGATAAACTCTCTAAGAGTCTTATCTTTATCCAAACTGAAGTTCTCTCCCATTCTAGGACTCTTGTCCCTTATCCGCTTATCCCAGATTCTGATTTCTTCGCAAATAACCTCGGCCTAGCCGAGATCATCTCAACGTCATGACCAGGACATGTGGTACCTCAGCTAGCACTTCAGTGACACCTCGGCCACGTGTTGTCATTCAAAAATTATGTCCCCACAACTAATTAAAGAGTAAAGTATCGAGTTGTGAATAACACTTGTGAAAATATTGTAAAAAATGTTTTCAAGTGTTAGGCCAAAGCCGAGATAACTGTTAGTGGGTATAACCGAAGTATTCCACATCGAGAAGATTACACAGTTAAGGTGTACGTTGAAGACATGCAAATTATTTTAAAGCATTGATGAAAACAGACTATAAGTCTTGGTCATATTAAGCCGATGAATGATGACCTCGGTAGTAAGGGATAAGGCAAGCTTAGCCGACGTGCTAAGTTGGAGGAATGATATAGGTTCCATCACCTCAGGATGTCAAGGTAATAGAACCTAGGGGGCAGTTGTGGGGACATAATTTTTGAATGACAACACATGGCCGAGGTGTCACCGAAGTGCCAGCCGAGGTGCCACGTGTCCTGGTTATGACGCCGAGATGATCTCAGCTAGGCCGAGGTTATCTGCGAAGAAACCAGAATCCGGGATAAGCGGATAAGGGACAAGAGTCCTAGAA